GGCCTTCATCCTGCAGTCTGCTGTGTGACTAGGAATGATGGTGGCCTACGTAGAAACTGTATCACAGCCAGCATGCCAGGAGCGAGCCAGCCCTTTGGGATGGGGCAGAGGAAGCTCACGCCTGGCATCGGTCCTTACCTCCTCCTCCTCCTGCACTGCAGCCCCGGAAAGCCAGTGCCACATGCAGTTCTGCCACAGCAGCAGCCTCCAGTGGCCTGGAGGAGTGGACCAGCCGGTCCCCGCGGCAGCGGAGTTCAGCCTCTTCGCCCGAGCACCCTGAGCTGCACGCCGAGCTGGGCATCAAGCCCCCTTCCCCAGGCACTGTCTTAGCTCTTGCCAAACCTCCTTCACCCTGTGCACCAGGTCAGTGACTTGGTGACAGGGAAGCATGCTGGGGTTAGGAGGTGCTGCCTAGGTTGTGGGCACCCTGCCTCTGACTGTCCCTCTGCCCCAGGTACAAGCAGCCAGTTCTCAGCAGGGGCCGACCGGGCTACTTCCCCCCTCGTGTCCCTCTACCCTGCTCTGGAGTGCCGGGCCCTCATTCAGCAGATGTCCCCCTCTGCCTTTGGTAAGCCTCCTCTATCTAGGGGCCAGGGGCCAGCTGGGAGCTGGGGAGAGATGGAAGAAGCAGCAAGTCCTGAGAGGGGGCTTCTAGAGCCTCTGGCCCTCTCCACAGGAAAAGGGAGTTTTTCAAGCCGAAGTGATGTGTCCAGAGGAGATTTGCGTGGGATTTCATAGGCCCAGGGGAGCCCTCTCTGTAGAGAAAGAGGGGCCTGGATGGGATCTCTCTGGAGCCGGGATCAGCAAAGGCTGAGGAGAAGGTGCGCTGGGAGTGCCCCATCATCCTTTTCCTCTTCGTCTTGCCCAGCAGGTCTGAACGACTGGGATGATGATGAGATCCTAGCATCGGTGCTGGCAGTATCCCAACAGGAATACCTAGACAGTATGAAGAAAAACAAAGTGCACAGAGATCCACCCCCAGACAAGAGTTGATGGAGACCCAGAGACTGGAGACCATCTCCCAACCCCCACCACTCCTGCCCTCCGGTGCCGCCCCACCTTCTTTGGCTTTCTTCCCTCTTGCCTTCTTCCCTTTTTCCCCTCCTTCTGCTCCTCCCCACTTCCCTCTGGCTGGCCCACCCCTGCGCCCCCTCTCATCGCTGCCACCACCACCATCACCCGTCTCTTCGCCAGCTGACGTGCCCTGTTGCCCCCTGCACAGCACCATCCCTGCATTCCACAGGGGACTTGGGCAAGGGTGCCGAAGGTAGGCAAGAGGCACACAGACAAACCAACTGGCAGCCAGGCAGCCCCCGAGGAGAGACATTCAGACAGAGGAAAGTATCCTTGCCCCCCATTCCTTCCAAGATCAGAAATACTTGTCACCCCACCTCCACAATGATACTGGGGAGGTGGAAGGAAGAAGTGGGAATTCCCCTTCCCAGTACCCCAAGAATGTCTGAGCCTTCAATGTTGAATTTTTTCTTTATTAAAATGTACTTTTATCTTATAAACTCAACCAATCCAAAATGATGTAGACAATAGCATTGGCTCTGTGAAGGCGGCATCTCTCTGGTTTGGGAGCAGGCAGGCCACGGGGCACAGAGGGGGCACAAAGATGTGGTTGCCATCTCTAGCCTTCAACTCTGTGGAGGTGGGCAGGGTCTAGAGTACAAGCTGGGGCAGGGGCAGGTGTCCCGTGGGCTTTGGACAATGAGACTCTGGCCTCGCAGCATTCCTACTGCTTCCACACCACTGCCACTGCCACCAGTCTCTGGAATCTTGGGGTGGGGGCACCTTTGAGGATCGAGGCTGCTGCCACCCAGGATTTGAGTGTGGGGAGTAGGAACAGCCTCAGCAGATGGGGCACCCGTGCCCTGCAGGTGTTGACAAGATCCACCATCTGTAATGTCCTTGGCACAATAAAACCAAATGTCAGTTTCCCCTGAGCGCCTCTGTTCTGTGTGGGGCATGGGGTGGGTGGGCCTCTGGGCAGAGGCGGTGATGGCATAGGCCTTGGCTTGATCTCTGAGGGCTGCATGCTCTCCAGTAGGGTATGTCTGTGGGCCCAGTTTGTTCATATTTGATTCATTCTTACTAAACCAACTTCTGGACCTGTTCCCACCAAGAAAACTCCATCTTACTTGCACACGTAGCCTGCCCACCCTGTGTCCTGGGGTGTGGTGGGAGCAGAGAACTAGGAGCTTGAGGGCTGGAACTGAACTTGCAGCTTTTCTGCCTGCCTCCTTCCCTATGTATGTTTGCTCTTTCCTTGTGCTCCTTGATGCGGAAATGCTTTGGGAAGGCACACGATGCTTCGTATCAACATAAGCTCAGTGAAATCAACTGGAGGGGCCTCCCTGGTTTAACTAAGGGATGGTTAAACCCTTTCTTTTTCATGTTCCCAGTCCTCTGACACCCATGCCCCTGCCTTTCCTTGGCGTAAAGCCAAGGCAGAGAAGGATGGCTGACCCCCAGGTCTTGTCAAGAGTGTGTTTTGCTGTGCCTCACTAGCGGGGCCCCTGTGGAAGGATGCATGTCCAGCTCTGCCGCCAAAGGCATGGCTGGCTGGGTGGCCATCTTGTGGGGTGCCTGTGGAATCCACATTGGTCAAGCATGCACATGTTGGAGAGTTGCTTGGGAGCCCACCCTGGCTTTTTATAGTTTTGTGATCTTGGTCAAATCACAGGCTGAGTTTCAGGGGTCCCACCATGTGTATGGTAGGAGTGATTAATGTCTACTACCTCACGTTCTCTCTGGTTGTGAGCATTGAGAGAGAATGCACATGGTCAGCATATAATAATGTCTGATGGCATGGTGCCTGGCATATTCTGAGAGCCCAGAGGTTACCAATTAGTATTTATTTACCTCATTTTGAAGTTTTTACACCATTTACCCCCCTGCCTTCTTGCCACCCTGTCTAATTTCACTGGCTTCTGCCTGGAATTTGCCCTTCCCCATCCTGAGCCCCCAACCTTGTCCTTCAAGATAGGTAGAGTGTCACCTTCTGAGAAGCCCTGTGTGACCTCATCCATATTCTCACCTCTATCCACAGATACATCTTTACTCCTTCCCCAATAACTCCGTGATTCACTTCCTGGGCAAGGGCTGTGATGCCTGACTTAATTTGTGTTATCTCTAATATCTGCACCCTTGCTGGGACCTGGTAGGCTTATAGTAGCCCCCTAATAAATACTGGATGAATGAGGGAGAGTACATGTGTGTATCTGCTTTTTGGGTGTGTGTGTGTGCGTGTGTGTGTGTGTGTGTGTGCGCGTGTGCATGCACGCATTTGGTGAGTTCAAGTCTTCACATGCACCTCGCAATGTCTAGTGTGTGTGATGAGGGCTTGTTTCCAGGTGTGTCAGATGGTGACTGAGTGTGGGACTCTATCTCTGACAGTTTATGTCTGTTTCTGAGACAAGTGCATGTCTGCGTGGGTCTGTGACAGCGCATCTGCAGTTTCTTTCTGATGGGGTGGATGTCCGTTTGTATTCCTGTGACAGGGTCTGGGTATCTATTTCTGGACAGTTTCAGTGACAACACTGCATGTTTGCGGGTGTGTGTCCACGTCTGTTTTTGTGACGCTGCCTATCTATGTGGCTCTGTCGAATAAGTATGTCTGCCTTTGGAGAAGTACTTGTGTGTCTGGAGCATCTGTGTGTCTTCCCGTGACAGACTCAAGGTCTCTCATTTCTGGGACAGTACAAGTCTTCCCCTGACGGTGCATGTCTGATGGTGCCAGTATCTTTGTGACAAGTTCTGGTGGTGTGTCTGACTAGACATTTCTGTGTCATTGTCACATGGCAGCGTCGGTCCATGTGAATCTCTGGAGTGCCTGTCTTTCCTTAACACTGTTTCACTGGGTGTCATTCCGGGACATAACTGGCAGCATGCCTGCCTGATGGTGGATGTCAGGCTCTGTGACAGTAGATGTCTGCATGTGTGTCTAGGACAAGTTTACATGAATGCGTCTGACTATGGGTTTTGTGTATATCACATGGTACTTCTGCGTGTCTTGAATGCATCTCTTTCTCCAGCATGAGGATCGACTATTTTTCCCAAATTTTGTTTTTCCCAAATTTGTGACTGAGGGTATTTTACCACCTGTCTGAGTTCTTTCCGTCCCTGTCTCTACCATCATTCTGGCTCGCTAGCACCCCACCCCCACCCGAGCTCCACTTCCCTCTGCCATTCCAGATTCTAGATGTGCTGACTGGGCTCGCGGCCAGACCTAGCCAGGTCTGTCCAGGTTAAGGGCTCCAAAACACCCCGCAGCCCTCCGCCTCAGGGTGTGGGAACGCTGTCTTTGACCAGCGCGTCTCCTGCGGTAGTAGGGGGGTTTACCCATCCCTGGAAGCTGGACAGGTTCTTCCAGGATTCTTGGCTTCAGTTTTGGGGCAGAGGCCTCTAGCCGCTTAGAGGGCTCTGGTCCTGGGTGAGGAGCACTCTTTGGAGACAAGGTCCTGGGTAGCCACAGGCCCAGATTCTTAGAAGCCCGGCGTGGCATTATCTCCGCGCTAATCTCGAAGCAGCGGCTGCAAACCAACTTCCTAGGAAAGGAGGCGGTGCAGTTATTTTTTTAAGTTTATATCTATATATACACATACACACACATATATAAAAACAACCCCGCGCAACAACCAAAACAAATGCGGTTGCTGCAAAGGGATTCCCAGAACCGGTTTCCTCTTTGCGCGCGCCCCCCACATTTGCATGCAGGCCCGGCCCCCGCGGAAGATCCGGGCATGCATTTGCATAAGGGGGTACTTGAAACGTTGAGGGTGGTATGCAAATTAGGACTGGCTCCTATTGGCTGGGGTACAGCAGGTGCCGCGTCCGGATTGATCAAAGCCAAGTGGGCGGGGCTGTCGCCCGGGGCGACTCTCTCGGGAGGCGCGTGCCCCGGCTCAGTAGCGTTGGGGCTGGCGCGCGCGTCGAATCTTAACGTTGCGCTGTTTTGCGGGCGCTTTTGGGCCATCAGCTTCTTTGCCTTCCACCCTGGCGCCCCCAAGTCCTGGCTCCCCAGCCTCGCTACCCCGGGCATCCACGCCCTGCGGGCTCAGCGGGCTCAATCTGCGCAGCACCACCTCCATGTTGACTAAGCCTCTGCAAGGGCTCCCCGTGGCCCCCGTGACCCCCACGCCGCCGCCAGGTGAGCGAGGCTCCCCTACCGCGACTAGGCCGAGCGGGCTGAAGTGGTTGAGGGCGGTGCGGGGGGAGGGGGAAAGGGTCGCGGCAGGGCTCAGCACGCAGCCACCCTGACTTCCTCGCCTCCGCCTGCGTAGGAGGCAAGGATCGCGAAGCGTTCGAGGCCGAGTACCGACTCGGCCCCCTCCTTGGTAAGGGGGGCTTTGGTACCGTCTTCGCAGGACATCGCGTCACAGACCGACTCCAGGTATCAACCACGAGGGTCTTGGGTGGGTCAGGGGTGGTGTGTGTGCGTGCGTGCGTGCATGCGTGCATGTGTGGTGTGTGTGTGGCGGGTGGGAGTCCCGAGGCTGGGATGCTCATTGACCAGATTGACCAGGGGATGAGCCGACAATGTGTGCGTGGTAGGGTCATGAGGACCAGGATCCGGGTTGGTGGGGGTGCCCGAGCGCGCGCACGTGCGCGCGCTTGTTTGTGTGTGTGGCGATCCAGGTGGGTATGTGGGGGAGAGGGGGTTTCAGGGCAGGGATGCTGGAGGTCCAAGGAGTGAGACTGAGGATTGGGGGGTCGTGAGGACTCTAGACCCAGGGATCCAGGGGATGTGTATCTGTGTGGGAAGGTAGAGAGACCCAGAGCTGAGATTTGGGGGATTTCGAGGGCAGATGTCCAGTGTGGAGTCCTTAGGACGAGGAACCCACTAAAAAATTGGAGGGTCTTGGAGCTGGATGCTAAGATTGAGGGCTTGGGGTATTAGGAAATTAAGAGCCCAGGATCTGGAGTGAGGGGTCCTGAAGCCTGAGAAGAGAGAACCCAGGGCCAAGGATGATGGGAGAGATAAACTCAGTTCTGGGGACTTGGAGAGCAGGGGAGAAGCTCCAGCTCATTTTGGGTTGTGGTGTAGCGAGGTTGGTACCCGAAAGACTAGAGTGAGGGTCAAGATTGGGGGGTGTCAAAGGGTCATCTGGTGGCCCCCTCACCTCAGCCCCCCTCTCCAGGTGGCCATCAAAGTGATCCCCCGGAATCGCGTGCTGGGCTGGTCACCCTTGGTGAGTATCTCTGGAGTCGCTGACCTGGCGACGCCATCTCTGAAGATGGGACTCAGCAACCCCTTGCCTTTCTAGGGCTTGTATGATTCCCTGGGCCCTGTAACGGTGAAGAGAATACTCCAACCAGCCTGTGTTTACTCCCCTCTGGTGACATCCACACCTCCATACAGTTCTGATTCACCCCAGCTCGCTTTGGGCCCTGGATTCTCCCCCTCCAACCCTCCTTTCTCCTCCTCCCTCCAAACACAGGCTCAGGGGCTGCCCGCAGGGCATGCTGGTGGGGAAAGAGGGGCATAGGTCACTGGTTGCCATGGTGACGGTGGCTGCTTCTCTTGGGCCGTTAGAACGCTAACGGACAACAGGGCGGGTCTGGGCAAGTTCTAGGGGTGGGAGCGCCCCCTGGCGGACACTGGGGGAGACTGCGCCTGCGCAGATTGTGGGACCTGGAGGGAGAAGGTGCGCCTGCGCAGTAGCGAAAGTTTCATCACCGTGAGAAAACCTGTCTGCGGCTGTGCTAGTCAGCGTACTGGCCGGGAGAGGGCCCCACCTCAGGCAGGAAGGCTGATTCTGGCTGTTGATTCTGGCTGTCCGTATGCCCTCACCGGGCTTCTGGCGTAGGGCGGCTTTTGTGGCCTAGCACTTACGCCTTTTATTGAGCACTGACTATGTGTCTCAGGTTTTGCTTCATCATCAAAGTTTACTGTGTTCCCAGTCCCACTAAGTACTTGCGTTCAACCCAGCTCTAGATGTTCAATGACAGTGACAAAACATCACATGATAGTATTATTGAGTTCTTACTTTGTTCCTTTGCAATTAATCACTTTTACCTACTTAACAAATGTATATTGAGGACCTACTATGTGCCAGGCACAATTTTAGGCATTTGACAAAATATTACATTTACTGAGAGCTTATTTTTTGCAGGGTTCTTTTCTACTAATTGCTTTTACCTATTTAATAAATAAGTATTAAACCCTACCCTGTTCCTTACCAGGCACTGTTATAGTCAGTGAACAAAACAGACAAACCATTATACAATAATAGTATTTTTGTGAGCTAACTCTGTGCCAGACTGTACTATCAAGTGCTTTCAACTATTTAACAAACATCTATTGAGCGCCCACTGTATGTAAGGCACTGTTCTAATCTCTTCTCATATGCCAGTGAACAAAAGATAGACTATTACATAATAGTGTTCATCAGTTGCTTCTTCAGCAGAAAGCCTTTTTATTTTTTTTTTTAAAGATTTTATTTATTTATTTGACAGAGAGAAATCACAAGTAGGCAGAGAGGCAGGCAGAGAGAGAGGAGGAAGCAGGCTTCGTGTCGAGCAGAAAGCCCGATGCGGGGCTCGAACCCAGGACCTGGGATCATGACCTGAGCCGAAGGCAGCGGCTCAACCCACTGAGCCACCCAGGCGCCCCAGAAAGCCTTTTTAAAAAAACATATTTTGTTTGTTCATTTCAGAGACAGCGTGCATGCACGTGCACACCAGAGTGAGGAGAGGGGCAGAGGGAGAGGGAGAGAGCATTTCAAGCAGACTCTCACTGGGCTGAGCATGGAGCCCGACGTGGGACTCGATCCCATGATCCATGAGATCATGACCTGAGCTGAGCTCAACTGACTGAGCCACCCAGATGCCCCAAGAAGGCCTTTTTTAAAAAAATGACTTTCATTTACTGAAATATTTACTCAGTTCCTATAATGTGCCAGATGTGCATGGGCTTTTGGCTCAAACGACCTTTCTAGTGGCTGTATTTGAGCCCTTAACACAGGGAAACTGAGGCTCAGGGAGGGAAGTGGGCTGCTGAAGGACACAGTCTGGAGGCTGAGGGGCTATGATTTAAGTTCAGGCAAGAAGTCAGCCTCAGAGCTACTGGCTTGATGTCTGTGTTCTCTTTTCTCTCCCCTTCCCCCCACAGTCAGACTCAGCCACATGCCCACTGGAAGTGGCATTGCTATGGAAGGTGGGTGCAGGCGGTGGGCACCCTGGCGTGATCCGCCTGCTTGACTGGTTTGAGACACCAGAAGGCTTCATGCTCGTCCTCGAACGGCCGTTGCCTGCCCAGGATCTCTTTGACTACATCACAGAGCAGGGCCCATTAGGTGAGGGCCGAAGCCGCTGCCTGTTTGCCCAGGTAGTGGCAGCTGTTCGCCACTGCCACGCCCGTGGAGTTGTCCATCGTGACATCAAGGATGAGAACATCCTGATGGATCTCCGCCGGGGCTGTGCCAAACTCATTGATTTTGGCTCCGGTGCCCTGCTTCATGATGAACCCTATACTGATTTTGATGGTAAGTCTTCACTAAATCTTAATGGGGGGGGGTTAATCTTTTATCTTTATGGTCCCTTGATCTTTGACCTCTAGTGCTGGGGTACCCCGTGCTCCTTGATCTATATCACACCTTTATAACGTTCTTGAGTTTTAATATTGGGGGCTCTCAAGCCTTGTCCTCTTCTAAAGTCCATCTAATGACAGTGCCCAGACCTGGTGAGGGATTATATTATTATCCTGAGTGCTCCTTTTCTGTCTGGTAAAGGGATCGTACTCTTACTTTTAAGGGCTTCTATTCTGTTGAGGCCATTCTGCTGTTACCTTAATTGTTCTTTTCCTGATGATGAGACTCTGCTGTTATATTTAAAGAACTCTTCCAGTTAGGGGACCGTGCTCCCGTAGTGTGTTCTCTTAATTCTGGTGAGGGGACCATACTTTCGCAGGGGAGGGGCATTATCGGGGAGTGGTCTAATCTCTGGCTTGTGTGCAGGGACAAGGGTGTACAGCCCCCCCGAGTGGATCTCTCGTCACCAGTATCACGCACTCCCAGCCACTGTCTGGTCACTGGGTATCCTCCTCTATGACATGGTATGTGGGGACATTCCCTTCGAGAGAGACCAGGAGATTCTGGAGGCTGAGCTCCACTTCCCTGCCCATGTGTCCCCAGGTGAGGCCTTCACCAGTCCTAGCTCAGTGGACTCCATCCTTCCCAGGGCCTAGTGTCCCCACCTGACCACTAATCTGTGTGCTTCTGATCCACAGACTGCTGTGCCCTAATCCGCCGGTGCCTGGCCCCCAAACCCTCTGCCCGACCCTCACTGGAGGAGATACTGCTGGACCCCTGGATGCAGACACCAGCTGAGGATGCACCCCTCAATGCCCCCAAGGGGGGGCCCACCCCTTTGGCCTGGTCCCTGCTGCCCTAGTCCTAGCCAGGCCCCCGCTAGTTGGAATAGCCGTCCCATGGCATGCCACAGGGATAGATGGACATCTGTTGACCTGGTTATACAGGTCATTAAAAATCCAGTGTTGTTAGGGTCAGAGATTGGGGATCAGGGGTCAGGAGACATAAACCAAGTCTGCCCACTCCCCATCCCAATTCTGCTAAGGAGCCTTCCTCCCAGAACTTATGGTCTCTTATTCTGGAGGGCGGGGGGAACTTCCTTATTTCTCATTTTGCTAAGGGTGTTTATTTGGTTGAGGTTCCTTCCATTCTGAGCCCCAGGACTCTTATTCTGATGAGTTGTAACCCCTACACTGGCACCTCCTGCTGCCACCACACACACTTAGTTCAAATGCTCTCACTTGGGCAAGGGTGCTTTCCTTCCAATGCCCCAGCAGCTCTTATTTTAGCAAAAGGACCCTTTCCCCTAGCCCAGGGTCCTATATTCAGTCAAGCTGCTTGCCTACCTCAGCCCAGGGTTGCTGATTCTGGGGGAGGTAATGCCCTATTGTTATCCCAGGACTTTTTTTTAATTATTTTTATTATTATTACTATTTTATTTTATTTTTTAATTTTTTTTATTTTTTATTTTTTTTATTTTTTTGGTGAGGGGACCCTACTCTGTTATCCCAAGTGCTCTTATTCTGGTGAGGAGAACCCTACTTCCATGATTTGGGAAATGGGAGATGGACACCACCAGAGTCCGCTAGGATGGGGTGGATGGTTTTTTGGGATGGGGTGGGGGAAGTCAAGTCTAGTTGTTTGTTCTCCTGGGCCCCCCCTCCATCTTTTTTGGATTCTTGCTGCCTCCTTCTGAGCCAGGATTGTCCAGTTGCTGAAATGTAAATACTTATGTATTGGTGGGAGGGGAGCTCCAACTATGTCCTCCTCTTCCTTCTCCCCCTGCCTGGATTATTTAAAAAAGCCATGTGTGGAAACCCACTATTTAATAAATGTTATAGAATCAGAAGTGACTGGCCATTTGTAGATGAAGCAAGGAAGCTCACTATTTGATAAATGTTCTAGACTCAGAAGCGACTGGCTATTTGTAGATGCAGTGAGGCAATTATGAAGCATGTAATGTATACTGAGTCAAGGGGGAGGTGGGCTGGATCGCTCCTCTGCTCTTGGGAGGGCTTCGCCCTGTGGTACTGTCCTAAGGCTGTTTTATGGGTTGGTCTAAGCAGGAACACAAAGAAAAACGGATTTCCCACATTCCAGCTCTTAGGTAGTTCCCAGGATGTGCAGAAGGGCTCCGCTGGATCTACTGTAGACCCTGAAGATGTTTGGGATATGTCCCCAGTCAAAGAGGGCTTGCTCGGCCAGAGAAAACTGCCTCCCCCCAACGCCGGGGGAGGAAATAAAGCGCTTCTCCCGTGGGAGAAAAGGCCTTTCAGGTCACCGGTGAGGGAGGGGCCGGGCATTGACAGAAACTTTCCCAGCCCTTCCATGTTTCCTGATAACATCCAGGGTGTAAGTACCCGTTTTGCCCCTACCTTTTTTCACCTCTCCCTTGCTCTCTTGTTCATCCCTCCTCTCTCATTCTTCACCTCGACGTCCCCGCCCTAACCTTAGCTGTACCCTCTCTTGCTCCGCTTTCAAAAGCTAACCTGAAAGCCTCACCTGGTGGCTTACCTGTCCCCTTCGCACTCCCTTTCCTCCTCAACAGGGGCTCGCTTATCCTCCCTACTCTCAGTCACCCCTCTCCAACACCTCGCTTGTGTGGCCTCAAGTGCTCTGCTCGTTTGCCCGCCTGACCCTCACCTGTCCCGCGCCTTCAGTCTAAATTTCCTCCCAGCCGCCTGCGTACTCTCTAGGGGGCGGGACCTCGCCGGGAGGTGGGCTAAAGAGGAACTTCAGTCCAACCAGGAAGGTACCCAGGAGTTTTGGTGCGGAAAGGGCGGGGTCATCTGTAGAAGCTGCCAATGAAGAGCTGAGATAGAAGAGGCTCAGCTGAGCCAATGAGACAAGGACACACGATGGGCGGGTGATCTAGAAAGCGAGATCAATGAAGTCGAGGGCGGGTCTAGTAACGGGAATGAGCCAATGAGGCTCTGTAGAGACAGCTAGAGGCTGAGTCGGCCGGGTATTGGGTCTGCCCATCCCGACGGAATCTGGGAATCCCGAGGCCGCGGTCTTAGGTTACCACTGTTCAGGAGCGGACGAGAAAAACCACAGCTCTGGCCAGCCCCTCACTCGCCCCGCCCCTACCCCCGAGGCCCGGAAGCGGAAGTGACGGATACGGAAGTGCCCTGCTGTTGCCGAGGGGACGGGCCAGGCAGATGCCAACATGGCAGCGGTTGGGTCTGGCGGTTCTACCGCGGCTGCTGCGCCAGGGGCGGTCTCCGCGGGGGCGTTGGAGCCTGGAACCGCGAGTGTGGGTGAGACAGGCCGTGGCCGAGCAGGCGGTGGCCGGGCGAGAGTCGGGATCACTGGGGGGTCAGGAAGGTTCCTCACTCAAGCGAGAGGGAGCATCCCTTATGGACCCACCTATGTGTGTGTGGTGGGGGGGTGGAGGAGGGAGGACGGAACGGTCCACTGTGAGTGTGTTGGAAGGCGGGGAAGAGACCATTCTGAGGGTAATTGGGGGGGTCCCTTCCGCATATGGAGAATGGAGATCTTTCTGAGACTGGGGGGTTATTGCCTTTGGGGGAGGCTAAGACCACTGAGACCATTTTGAGTTTGTGGGGGGGGGGTCCGTCCTTAGAGAAGGGAGAGAGCATTCTGAGGGTGGGAAAGTTCTTCCTTATAGAATAAAGAGGCTGTTCTGTGGGTGGTGGTTTCTTCCTTATAAAGGGATAGGGGTTATTGTGAATTAGGGTGGGGCGGGTCCTTCCATACCCGACTTAGAGGGTCCGTTTTGAAGATTGGGATGTCCGTTATAAGGAGATGAGACTGTTCTGGTGGGTCCCTTCCTAATGCTGGTAGAGTCCATTGTATATTGGAGTGAGAGGGTCCTTTCTTACATGGCAGAGAAAAGACATTCTGAGGGTGTGGGGCCCTTCTTTATAGCGGGGAGAGTTCATTGTGAGTGTGAGTAGAACAAGGAATGATTCCTTGGCTGGAGGTAGGGAGGGTGCAGTGGTTGGAGGATGACTGGGCCATGTGGAGTATAGGGAAATACTTCCTTATGTCCTCGAGGGAATCACACCATTCTTGGTACAGTAACCATTTATTATATGGGGTCCAGTCCTAGGGGCTGTGGAGGAATTATTTCTTAAGTTTGTGAAACCATTCTGTGTCAGAGGGACTCTGGTGGTCATAGAAGGTAGGAGTTGGAAAGACCATTCTCAGTGTGAGGGGATGGAATAATATCTTAGATGGGAGGAAGACCGTTCTTTAGGGGGTGGACATGCCTTATATAGTGGTCTCATTCCCTGTATTGAGGTATCATTCTTTACATAGGACGACCCCTCATTAAATAGAAGCATCATTTCATATAAATCTGTGGTTTGCTCACCCATATAATGGAATCCTTGTAGCTCGCTCAGAGATCAGAACAACATAGGGATCTGCTGAGGTATTCCACATAAATTCTTTATCCCAGCGATAGGTAGACAGTTAGCACTCAATAAATGTTGAGAATGTGGTTGGTAGTCCGTCTTGGGGTGGAGTTGCTTCTCACACAGAGGAGGGAGAGAGGGGGCCCAGTGTGTTCAGCACCTGCTCCAGCCATTTCCTGATACCTCAGCAAGGATTCCAGGTATGGGCTGGATGGGGCGAGGTCCACTTCCTCCTTTGTGGCTCTTCCTGCCTGTTGAGGCAGCAGAAGTAGATGGGAGTCAGACTCTCCTTGGGTCAGGATAGGGAGGCAGAGAGAGGAAGTGGCAGTGGCTAGGAGGATCCTGGTTGAGAAAGGAGTGAGGGGGAAGGTGGTGGTGTGGCTGTGTCCTAGCAGCTTCTGACCCCTTCTTCCTCCTTGCTCATTGAATTTCCCACAGCTCACCGGCGCCTCAAATACATATCCCTAGCTGTGCTGGTGGTCCAGAATGCCTCCCTCATCCTCAGCATCCGCTACGCCCGCACACTGCCTGGGGACCGCTTCTTTGCCACCACTGCTGTGGTCATGGCCGAAGTGCTCAAAGGTCTCACCTGCCTGCTGCTGCTCTTCGCACAGAAGAGGGGTATGAGCCAGCAACGGGGGCGGTGGTGCTGCACTGGGGTCAGTGGGACTTTGTGTGTGTATGTGTGTACACCCATGCCCACATGGAGGGTTTGCTGGGGGAATATCACTGTATCCCTGTGTCTCAAACCGCCTGTGGAGTATGTAAGTGCAGCTAATCTGCCTTGTCCCTCCAGCCCTACTTTTATACCCCTGATGCCCGGGAAGTTGGTCTGCGTGGACTGTAGGAGTGGTCTGTGCCCATAAGGTAGCAGGGGACCCTTACAGGGTGATTCACTTATTTCCGTTTAACTTTGCATTATGGATCATTTTAAACATATACAAACTTGGAGAGAATAATAAAATAAAATGTCCATGTACCCATCACCCAGATTCATCAGTTGTCCACTCATGGCCCCTCTGCCATTAAACAGCATCAGTGATTACCCACTCACTGTCCATCTCCCTGTCTGCCTACCTACCCACTCCCTGCCTTACTTTACTGCAGTGTGTCCTACACGAAGTATGTAGTATTTTGAAGTAAATCCCCACCCCTACCTTACTGTCTTGAATAAATATTTTGGTACATTAAAAATAACTGCAGTATCTAAAAATCATACATCAAAAAAATGAACCATAAAAGAATCAAATACCCAGTCAAGTGTTCACACACTTATAATGGCTTCTCAAATATCATAAAAATTTTTAAGAATTTGTCTCAGTCAGGTTTATATAAGGTCAGTGTCTTGCAATTGGTTGGTGTCTTCTAGGTTTGTTAACCTCAGGGTTCTCCTCCAGCTCTGTGATGGGCAGTTAATTTCTTTTTTTTTTTTTTAAGATTTTTATTTATTTGACAGAGAGACAGAGAGAGATCACAAGTAGGCAGAGAGACAGGCAGAGAGAGAGGGGAAGCAGGCTCCCCGCCAAGCAGACAGCCCGATGTGGGACTCGGACCCAGGACCCTGAGATCATGACCTGAGCTGAAGGCAGAGGCTTAACCCACTGAGCCACCCAGGTGCCCCTGGGCAGTTAATTTCTTGAAGAGAGCAGGTGGTTTGTCTTAGAGACTTTGGACAGTCTGCAGTTTGCTGCCGGCCTCCTAGTGGTATCATTTAACATATTCCTCTACCTTTTCTGTACTTCCTAGAAATTGAATTTCTATACCAATTTAAACATCTCCCTAAAAGCCTGCTTTAAAACGTTGTCAGTTGTTTCTCTACAAAGGCTGTGCCAGGGCGCCTGGGGGGCTCAGTCAGTTAAGCGTCTGACTCTTGATTTCAGCTCAGGTCATGATCGCAGGGTCTTGAGATCGAGCCCCACATTGGGCTCTGCACTTAGCAATGGGGAATCTGCTTGAGATTTTCTCCCTTTCCCTCTGCCTCTCCCCCGGCTTGTGGGCACGCATGCCCTAATAAGTAAATAAATCTTTACAAAAAATAATTAAAGGCCTTGCCTTTGTAAAGGATACAGATGTCTGTTCCAGCTCTGCTGTCAGTATTTACGATGAAGAAAACATTCTTGCCCACTCACTAGCTCCAGGGCCCTGGGAAGCAGCAGTTTGGGAACCCATCTGTTCTGTCCTTTCTTTCCTTTTTTTTTTTTTTTTTAAAGTGGACGTGTAGCTGAGATACACAGTTAACCATTGAACAACACAGGTTTGAGCTGTGCAGGCCCATTTAGACGCAGGTTTTTGTCTAATAAATACAGTACGGAAAATGTATTTTCCTTAGGATTTTCTTTTCTCTGGCTTACTTTAATGTAAGAATACCATATATGATACATATAACACACAAAATGTTCTATGTTCTCCGTAAGGCTTCCAGCCAGCAGTAGACTATTAGGAGTTAAGCTTGGGGGTTGGGGGCATCAACAATTTATGTGGATTTTTAACTGTCTGGGGGGTTGATGCCCCAGCTCCTGTGCTGGTCACTGGTTAACTGTAATGTTTTCTTAGTTTCAGGTGTACAACATACTGATTCAACAATTCTCTACATTACACAGTGCTCACCATGATAAGTGCACTAACCATCTGTCACCAGACTGAGTTATTACCTTATTATTGGCTGTATTCCCTGTGCTGTACTTTTCATCCCTGTGACTTATTTATTTTTATAACTGGAACTTTGTACCTCGTTACCCCCTTCACCTATTTCGCCCATTTCCCGCTCCCCTCCCCGCCCTCAGCAACTGCCAGTTCTCTAAGAGTATGTGATTCTGTGTCTGTTTTTGTGGTTGTTTGTTTTGTTTTGTTTTGTTTTAGATTCTGCGAGGTGGTGAAATCATTTGTCTTTCTTGGTCTGACTTCCTTCACTTAGCATCATGCCCTGGAGGTCCATCATCTGCTCTGTCCCCTCCCCCACCTTCTGTTCTGTTCTCAGTTGATTCCGAGACACTTCCAAGTGCTCTTTGCGGCAGCCCCTGCTCTGACTGTGTCCTGCCCTCAGGGGGGCTGATATTTGGGATGGGGAGAAGCAAAGAGCTGCAGATTTAAAACCACAGGCCTCCACCTCAGATCTACAATTTCAGCCCCTTGCCCCATGTTGTTGTTGTTGTTGTTTTTTCTCTTGAATCAGTTTTGTGGTAAAACCTGGCCTGACCCCACATGGGGCTGTTTGTGTATCTGTGTTTTTAATTTTTCTCATTTGGTGTGAATGTTTACACAAGTCACCACAGAAATACGAACATGTGTGATTATGGCATGCAGCCCCCTGTATGTGAAGGCTGCGTTATGTGTTACGTGCCAGATTGCCCGTGCTACTTGTCTGACGCCTGGAAAATGCCCAACACCCAAACCCCTGGGCCCCAAGAGTTGGGGTTAAGGAGTTTGAGATGGGTAATTACTCCCGGGACGAAGGCCGGGCAGGGCCACGAGCCGTCAGTGCAAGTTCCCTGTGATAGGCCCGTGCACTGGCTTTCCCCTGCGATAGCCCGGTGCAGTAAGTGGGGTTTTCACAGAGGAGCAACATGCAGCTGAGCCTGAAAAGGTAAACTGTAGAGCTTTGCAGAGGCCTGACTCTCCAGGAGGGTCCTCTCTCTCATGCATCGGTGGGAGCAGGCCCCAGCCAGCCTTGCCTGCTTCTTAGTCCCACTGCCGCTGTTGCCTGTGGCCCAGGTGGCCCAGTCCTTGCGTGTTGGGTGGGCAGAGCAGGAGATGGCTCCTGCCCTCAGGCAGCTCGCAGGCCAGTAAGGAGCTAGGATAAGCATCATAGTTGAGTCTCCAACTTCCCCTCTGATTGGCAGTCTGCCTTCCCACTCCTAAGGCTTCTCCTTCACAAGCTAGTTCCTACTGACAATTTCACTGGCTAGACGGGTATTGAGTGCTTGCCCTCAGTGGGCCTCCTGTCCGGGGAGCTAGGCTGTACACTGAGTGAGGACAGCCTGTGAGCCTCAGCTGCACACAGTCGAGGATGGTGGTTTTGTGTCCTATGAAACTGCTGGCCATGAGGCCTGCTGGAGCGGGGGGTGGGGGGTGCTGCGCTGTGGGGAAACTGAGAGCACAGACCTCATTCGAGCCCTCAGGAAGTCAGAGTATGGTAGGGAGACGCAGGGCCCAGCCCAGTCCTGGCCCGCAGAGGATCTGCAGTGCTCAGGAGGACTGTCCTCCCCCTCCCCGTGCACCCCAGGTAACGTGAAGCACCTCGCGCTCTTCCTCCACGAGGCTGTCCTGGTGCGGTATGTGGACACGCTCAAGCTTGCAGTGCCCTCTCTCATCTACACCTTGCAGAATAACCTCCAGTATGTTGCCATCTCCAACCTGCCAGCTGCCACTTTCCAGGTGAGCTGCATGCCCAGTGTGGCCTCGGAGGAGCCGGCTGGGGTCAGGGAGGTAGGAGGCCGACAGGGGAGGGCTGCAGAGAGCTGGGGCCATGTCGCCTTGGCTCTCCCTCAGTCTCAGTTCTTCATCTGTGAGAACCGGGAATGGGGACGGGAATGCCTCCTCACCAGGTTGCTGGGATGGCTAAAAGAAATAATATCTGGGAAGAGCCCTTGGTTGGCAGTAGGCGGGCTTTTGGCTGTTTCCAAGGAGGCCTTGGAAAACGGTTCAAGAGCCTGGATTCTGGGGCCCAAATCCCACCTCGGCTACTACTTCCCAGCTGTGTGATCTTGGGCAAGTCACTTGACGTCTCTGTGCCCTAGTTTTCTCATCTTCCCATCAGACATTACAATAGCGTCCACCTAATCTGGGAGAGCACTGAACGAATGGATTCACATGCAGTGCCCAGAGGCACAGTAGCACACAGCGGCCACTGTGTCAATGTTTGCCGATGTTATCATTGTGGCTTATTGGCTTGCATCAGCACCTAGTTATCAGCCCCCCACCCCCCGCACCCTCATCAGAGAGCCTGTCACTTGTTCACTCACCTGCCACGTGAGCTGGTTCGCAAACAACAGCTGTACTCCACAGATGGTGATGTCAGGGCCGAGACAGGGCAAGTGCCTTGTTCCTCATCACACAGCCAGAAAATGGGGTTGGGGTGCAGACTTGGGTGTGGCCCGGGACTTCCTTGTGGAGCTGTGGACTTTCCGGGAAGCACGGCGCAGGGCTGTTTAGCGCCCTATCAGTCAGCTCCCAAGGACTGGGTGTCTTTCTGGTCGCCTGCCCTGTCCTATCCCTGCACTGGGCACATTGCGGGATGGGGGTGGGGTGGGGAACAGCCCTTAGCACCTCCCGCATGCATGCCGCACACAGGTGACGTACCAGCTGAAGATCCTGACCACGGCGCTGTTCTCTGTGCTCATGCTGAACCGCAGCCTTTCGCGGCTGCAGTGGGCCTCCCTGCTGCTCCTCTTCACGGGCGTTGCCATTGTCCAGGCACAGCAAGCTGGTGGTGGGGGCCCTCGGCCACTGGACCAGAACCCTGGGGCAGGCCTGGTGGCCGTCGTGGCCTCTTGTCTGTCCTCGGGCTTTGCGGGCGTCTACTTCGAGAAGATCCTCAAGGGCAGCTCGGGCTCTGTGTGGCTGCGAAACTTGCAGCTGGGCCTCTTCGGCACGGCGCTAGGCCTGGTGGGGCTCTGGTGGGCCGAGGGCACTGCTGTGGCCCGCCGCGGCTTCTTCTTTGGCTACACGCCGGCCGTGTGGGGCGTGGTGCTCAACCAGGCCTTTGGCGGGCTGCTGGTGGCTGTTGTCGTCAAGTACGCCGACAACATCCTCAAGGGCTTTGCCACCTCCCTATCCATCTTGCTGTCCACGGTTGCCTCCATCCGCCTCTTCGGCTTCCACGTGGACCCGCTGTTCGCCCTGGGCGCCGGGCTGGTCATCGGTGCTGTCTACCTCTACAGTTTGCCCCGAGGTGCAGCCAAAGCCACCGCCTCTGCCTCCGCCTCCGGGCCCTGCACGCACCAGCAGCCTCCGGGGCAGCCGCCACCACCCAAGCTGTCTTCCCACCATGGAGACCTCAGCACGGAGCCCTTTCTGCCGAAGTCAGTGCTGGTGAAGTGAGGGCTGGTGGCGGTGGGGGGTGACAGGGAGGGGGACTGGGTGGAGGGTGTTGGGCATCTGCAGGGACCTGAGCTGCCACTGGGCCTGGCTCCTCTGGGACTGGAAGAGTTTTCTCCCAGGTCATGGAGACTTCTGGAGGGGCATGGGACGGGGTGGGGCGTCACACGAACCCTTCCTCGCAGACTGGAGGGGGCTTTGAGAGCTGCCTCCTCTGCCCCAGCCAACCCCTTTCGGGGACTGGGTTGACAGTGTTGTCATTCAAGGCCTTTCTTTGCCTGCCTGCCCTCAGCTGGAGGTGTCCTGTCTTCCATGCCTGGGAGAGCCCCTCCTAGCAGCCCCTCCACCTTTGTAAGGACAAATCGGACAAAAATGTTACAGCTCTTTTAGTGATGGATGCCTACCTGTGGGGTTCAGCTTCCTGTAGCTTGAGGCCTTCTTGCCTCCCTCACAGCCGCAGTGGATCATGTTAGCAGTTCGGGTCTTTTTTGTACGTGGCCTTGGGGCAGCTTCCCTGACGGGAGACCCTTGATAATGGGCCTGTCGTGGGCACCCCGGAGAGAGGCAGGGGCCAGAGCTGACACGTGTTGCATCGGCCCATTCCTGGGGAGGGTACAGTGCAATGGGGGCCGTTTGTTTTTTTAGTGGTCTGGGAACTTGTGGTGTAATCAGATAATTAATAATCCAGGGTGCGGGGAGGGGGAAAAGGTCCTTGGAGTGGCTGAATCTCACTGAAATCTAAGACACTGTCAGATGCCGGATGCAGGGTTCTTTTCCGAGACATCCCAAAAGGGAAGCTAAAGCTGCTGACCACAGCTCTGGTAACGCACTGGCCGTATGAGGCGCCCTCGCTCTGGGACAGGGTGAGGGGTCTCCAAATCGCTGAGATGTGGAACCTGCCCCCTGCACTCCCTAAAGCTTATTAACCCCTTAACGGTCTCCCAGGATGTGCGTGCGCGCGCACACGTACACGTGCACACACACACACGGGGGAGATGCCTGGGCTATCTTTGCTCTATGTAAATAGGGTCGTTGGATCTTTATTTTTGATTAAGTTGTTCTGATTTTTTTGGCTTGTTTTCTAAGGAACTGTAATGAACAAATGTCAGGAGACCCAATGCCAAATAAAGATGTTGTATTTATTTAGTCCACGTGTAGCTTTCTGACCCAGGGGATTCACTCTGTCTGCATAGGCTCTGTTACTAACCCCCGGACTACCAGCCCCACCACTGCTACCCTCGCTTGCTCAGGGCACTCGCCTGCTAGCCCACACCAGCTGTCTGTGTTTCTCTCTCCCTCCCCATTCCCACCACAGGTTGCTCACCAAGGTGAAGGGTTCGTAGCCGCTGGGATCGAAGACGCTGGCCTGGCCTTCTCCCCTCTTGCCCTGGCCCAGCCAGGACCAAACTCTGATCAGTATTAGGGGTGGGGGGAGGTAGACACTGAACCCCAGCCTGGTCCCCCCACCCCCACCCCCCACTCCCACGCAGGGGGAGGGACACAACTGAACTCTGGTAATGAGGGCATGGACAGGATCCACCTCAGCCTCCAAGCCCCCTGTCGCCCTCATATCCTTGCCACTCCCGCACTATCTTAGGTGAGTTTTTGCAAATAAAATGTGTTTCACTTCTTGCTGGCCTGGGTTGGGAAGCCTCAAGAGCGCATGGGAAGGAAGCACTCAGGCCTCATGGGCACGATCCATCGAAAAGCTTTATTAAAAATACCGGGGAGCAGTGGGGTGGCGAGTCGGGGAGGTTCAGTCTTGTTGCTTGGTTCGGGAGGCCTCGGCGTTGGCCCGGAGCACAGCCCCTGGGGATGGGTAGGGGCGCTGCTGGAAGAGGGGCCCCGCTGCTGTCGTGTCTGCACCCGTCTTGGCCTCATTCCGCTTGGGGAGTCCTGTTGACCATGTGCCCCTGGTGGGGAGGGGGTTAGGAAATAGGGGTCAGGAGTTGGGAATATGGTATGCAGTGGGCACTCCCCACCCCCAGCTCCAACAACTGACAAATCGGGGAAGGAGACAGGAAAAAAGGAATGGTCATCAGTGCAAGGGACTCATGAGGGAAAGAGAAGGGCTTGTGAGGGCTTTTCCTTTACCGGGGTGCATCCGAGTACGAGCTGGGGTCCATGGGGTCTAACTCTTCATCCTTCCGGCTTGCCGCTGAGGAAACAGGTGGCAGAGTGAGGTTTTCAGTAGAGACACAAGGAGCCCCTGATCACCAACCTCCCCCATCCCAGGGAGAAACCGGGTGCATGGCTGCCGTGGCCCACAGCACCCCATCCCAGGCCCCAGGCTCAGGCACTCGCATGAGCAAAGGGAGGGCCTCTCTTCCATGGCTCGTCCGTGGTGCCTAATCTGCCTCGGGCCCCGGCCCTGCTGTTGAGCTTACCCTTCTTGCTCTTGGGGTAGGGCGCCAGCTCCTCCCTGCGATGATGGCGCCGTTCTTTGCTCTCTTCCCGCTCTGATTTGTCATACCCACGATCCCGATCCCGATCCCTGTCCCGCTCTCTCTCTCTGTCCACTTTGTCATAACCACGCTCCCGGTCTCTGTCTGACTTCTCGTGGCCCCGGTCCGACTTCTCGTGGCCCCGGTCCGACTTCTCGTGGCCTCGGTCTGACTTCTCATGGCCCCGATCCACCTTCTCCTCAGCATCTGGGAACACAAAAGCCTTGAAGTGACCTTTCTCCTCCAATCTCTGGCCCCAGCAGCCTCTGCCTTCAGTAACTGCCCCCGCTCTTGCCTGGGGTTTGGTCTGCCTGTCTCACCTGCCCCTCCCCAGTCCACTGTCATTTACCTGACCCCTCCCTGAGAACTGCAGGACCATGGACTGCTTAGGTCCGCCAACTCACCTGCATTACTTGCCCTGAGCTTCTTGGCAGATTTGGTAACGACGGAGTTGGGGTCATGTGGGGAGAGCCAGGACACGAGGTCTGTGTCCACATTCCAGTAGTAAGGGAGCCCGCTGTGGGGCAGTGGGAAGGAAGCAGGGGAGGGAGAGAGGGAGGGGGAGAGAGGAGGGAAGGAGGGAGTGGAGGAGTGTCAGCACAGGGGTCTTTTTTTTAAGATTTTATTTGATTTTTATTTGACAAGAGATCACAAGTAGGCAGAGAGGCAGTTAGAGAGGGGGAAGCAGGCTCCCTGCTGAGCAGAAAGCCCGAGCGGGGCTCGATCCCAGGATCCCGGGATCATGACCCGAGCCGAAAGCAGAGGCTTTAACCCACTGAGCCACCCAGGCACCCCAGCACAGGGGTCTTATAGCCTCAACTCCTACCCATCTCTTGTAACTGCCCCACATCAGGACCCCAGAGGATGGACCCCCAGACCTCTTCTCTGTGTTTCCCATTTACCCCAAGGCCAGGGACAGCACAGGAAAGGTGAAGTCAGATGTCAGTTCCCCCACCCACCCCCACCCCAGTTCCCCAGGCTCACCAGGAAGGGTCAAACACCTTGTACCAGCTCGGTGGCAGGCCCTCCAACCGGGTGGCCTCATAGTCTACCGGGTCATCATCATAGTCCTCGGCAATGATCTCTTCCTCTGGCTCTGGCAGAATAGCGGGGTGGAGGAAAGCAGTAAGGACTAGAGGGATTCTCATCTTACAGCCAGAGCCTGGAGAGACACTCAAATTCACATGGACCGTGTGTGTGTGTGTGTGTGTGTGTGTGTGTGTGCACGCGCACACACCAGGTCTCACCTTCTGTGGCGAATATCACATTCCAAATCCAAGTGTCTGAAGATCAGGGGATTTGCCAAAAAATGTACCTAAATCTCTTCTGTTTCTGGGTTCAGGTAAAATCTGGGATTTGATGCTGTCACCCACACCTATCTGATTTCAGAATTTAGACAAGGATTCATCATACAAATGTATCCTCCAGTTCCCGAGTTCAGGAAGCATGGGACATCATGCTATCCAAATCTATTTGGATAAAATGAGTTTGAACAGTAACGGATTGTTCTGAAAATATGTCCAAATCTGCTCAGCTCCCAAAGCCTGGAAAATAACGGGTTTCTTTTTTTTTTTTTAAGATTTTATTTATTTATTTGACAGAGAGAGAGAGAGAGATCACAAGTAGGCAGAGAGGCAGGCAGAGAGAGGGGGAAGCAGGCTCACCACTGAGCAGAGAGCCCAATGCGGGGCTCGATCCCAGGACCCTGAGATCATGACCTGAGCCGAAGGCAGAGGCTTAACCCACTGAGCCACCCAGGCGCCCCAAATAACGAGTTTCTGATCTTGTATATTGAGCAGCAAGTCTGGATGGCAGGGGATATATCCCAAACACTGCTCTGGGTCCATTCAGTTCCTAGGCTTGACACATAGCAGGCCTACGGCAGCTGTCAGTTACTATTGGCAAAATAAAAGAGGTGAATGTTGTTAGCTTGGTACGTGACCCTCAGTAGGCCTAGCACAGATTTCAGCTATGGCTGGAACTAACAATGAAATGTACATGTCAGCAGCAGCATACTGTCTGTCACACAATAGGCCCAAAGTAGATGTGAGCTATCATCAACAGTATCGTTAGTAAGATGTATATTCCATCAGCACAGGGCGCCGTACTCAACAGGCTTACAATAATGGTCAGTGATCATTATCAGTATTATTAACCACAAGATCTATGTGTGGCACAGTTGCTTGTAACAGATGGCCTTTATCAGTAAGGTGAAAATAAGATGTACTTCCCAGTGCTTAGCACACTGTACCCAAAAAGATGCCAAAAAAAAAACCCTCAAAAACAAAAAAACCACCACACCAGATGCCAGCTTTTACTATTACTGACAATGAGGTGGAAATCTTAGCACAAGCAGCCCAGGAGGCATACATGATAGATCCTATCATTATTTTCTACTGTTAGCCATAATGCATATGCCAAGCACTTGGGCCCAAAATACATGTCAGCTACGGATACGGTGAACAATAAGTTACAGATCACCAGCATAGTGCCTGGTGGCACCGTTGTAGGTCTAAAATAAGGTAATCATTAGGGTAAAGAACAAAGTATCAGCATCCTGCTACGGTCTACTAGGATACTTTGTAATACCTTCCAACGGATTGCTTGTTGGATTGCACGTGGCACACAACAGAACCCCAAAAAGGCCTGCTGTCAATATTAAGCACTAAATATGCATTCCCCACCCCCACCCCCGCCCGCGGTAGGAATGAATGTCAGGAAGCCATATTGTTAACAATGCCCGCCACCCGACTGATTGGTGCGCAATAGGGTCCATGCTAGGTATGAAGTGGCAGTTATGAACAAAGTGCCTGTCAAGCCTGCCACATGGTAGGCCCATCTGCTTTTAGCTCGCTTACCGGGCTCCAGATGTTTGAGGATGCCTCTCTTGGCCAAGCGGGTCTGCAGCGCAACAGGCAGCGGCATAGTGGACAGCAGACAGACCTAGGGACGGACGGACGGACAGGTACGCGCGCGCACACACACACACACACACACACACACACACACACACACACACACACAAACCGCCAGCTCAAATGAGGATTCAAATCCCGATCCTAAAATCAAGCGCCTCCTCCCAGCATATACTCCATCTGGAACCCCACCTACCTACCTGCACGGATAGCTGGCCGGACGGAACCGACGCACTAAGAGGTGGGAAGATAGGTGCACTGCCACCCAAACTCCCACCGACCCCCGCCTCGAGGCTGGGTGTTCCAGGACCCAGTTCCCCTCCCAGGCCCAGGCTCCGCCCACCGCCGAAGGGGCCAAGCTCAGTTCCAACCCCCTGCGTCCCAGGAATGGGCTCACCCAACGTCCCCCACAGACACCTGGGTGGGAGGAACCAAAGCTCCGGGATGGGGAAGCAGAGCGCAGCACCTCCTCCTGCTGCAAAAGAGGCACCCACCCCAACATTACCAATACAATCCCGAGCGTACTGGAAGGCTGTCAGATGGGCCGGCTTTCTCTTGTAGCTGCTAGGATCACCAGAACCACATGAATGCCTTCTCTGAAAACACAGAATGAGGACCGTCCTCCCCAAGGCTTGAAAGAACTGGGCGACGCTCAGGCTGCCGTACAGATGACGCAAACCCGGGTGGCCAATGAGAGCGCGGCCCTGGCCTGACAAGCGCGAAGCGACCCAATCGCTGGGCTGGAATAGGTGGAGCGCTCAGGCGCCTGTGCGCGTGTGCCGTGGGGGCGTGGCCCGCCGGGGTTTAGTCAGGACTGCGCGGCCGGACGCCGGCGCCATGGAGGAGTACGCGCGGGAGCCTTGGTACGGCGGTGGGCACAGGCCCCGGGACTGTTGCTGCGGCGCCACGGCCAGCTGTGGGAGGCGGGCGGGAGAGGCGCCGGCCACACCGCGCCGCGTCCCAGACTCGGGACATTCTTAGACATTTGTGGTCTCCTTCCGCTTCCCTCCGCTTCGTTCCTCCCACTCGGGCACCGTTAAGAGGGGCCGCCGCCGTGTGCCTGGAGAAGGTGCGGTGCAGGACCAACCACTCCCAAGTTTCCCCTGACTCCGTTTGTCTCCCCAGTCCCTCTTAACGGAACGAGCCATGCTGGTCGAATCCATTCCAGCCCGGGGGTGGTGACGGTTGTCGAGCGGAAATCCCCAGAGTTGCCGTGCGTGGCTTTATCCCGGTCGCTTCAGCGAATGGGGGCGGGGCCCGGGTGAGCCTATGGTGGACGAACTGGGTCCTCCCACCCCCCGCACCGTGTGCTCTTGGTTTTTCCCAGTTGGGGCGGGTTAAAGAGGGAAGAGGGCGGGATTTGGTCGGACGTGTTCATTGTTGGAAACGGGGGTGCAACCCCGTCCTGCTTTAATAACGGTATTAGCGAATGAACACTTTCACATCGCTGATCCAAACGTGCCAACCCCGCCTGTGTCAGTTCGTTTACTGTTCGGTAGTAGGGAAGCAGTTGGCTGATTCCTCGGTTGGCCACGAGGGGAGGGGCGGACAGGGCCAAGACTAATGCTTTTCCCCTTGAACACCATTTGCCGAAATGAGGGGGAAAATAATATTATCTGAAGTGCTGCTTCCTATTGGAGTGACTTGGCTTCTCCCAGTGGGAAAGAGTCCATGCAATATGGCAAGGGGAAGAGGGGCTCACTTAATCCCACCCTCCCCTTCCGGCCTGCAGCCCATGGCGAATTGTGGACGATTGCGGTGGAGCCTTCACTATGGGTGTCATCGGCGGTGGAGTCTTCCAGGCCATCAAGGGCTTCCGCAATGCCCCTGTCGTGAGTCGTGGCCTTCCCTGGGTGGGGCGGGGAACCTGCCCTGCCCATCCCACACGGGATACTGCGCGGAAAACCGCTTGGAGCTGCCGTGACTTACTCATTCTGGTTCCTGCTAGCTTACTATGTGCCAGGCCTGGCTTCAGGATCTGTGGTTTGGGGAGAAATGGCAAACATGGCCCTGTGTCCCTCGCCCCCAGCACCCAACTGGGTTTTCTCTGTGGAAATACTGTGCTATCAAAACGATTCTCATCAAATTCTAAATATATGTGTAAGGCCAGAGAGATTTTCCCCAGAGGCAGATTACTTGGATACAGGGAAGTGCCAGGAGTTTAACTGGCAGAAGGACAGCCTTAAAGTTAAGAAAATGCTTTTAATGTAACCTAATCAATGTTCTTTTCTTTCTCTCTCTCTGCCCACCCTCTTCCAAGATCTTATCAAACGTCATGGCTTTAAATGCCATCCATTTGTCAAGGTCTCTGAAATGTATCTGTCTACTCCCATCCCTCCCCTCAACTCCTGGAACTCTTTCCTGGATCTTTGCCCAGCTTTCCTGTTCTCATCCTCAAGGTCTCAGCACAAACACCCCCTCCTTTAGAGTCCTTTCCTGACCCCTCAGCCGTTATCATTTCTCTTGATGCCATTTCCTCTAGGGTCTGTATTGCTGTGTGAAGCTATCTTGTTGGTCTGTACCTCTGCCGGGCATTTGTCTCTCCCACTGTAATGTGAGCTCGGAGAGGGCAGAGGCTAGGTCTGTCTCATTCATTATCCCTCCATTACAGCATGGTGCCTGGCACTTAGGTGCTAGGGATCATTGAATGAATGAGAACTTCTCAACCCACACCTGAGAACGCCCATGTTAGGGTGCTCACCAGCCTCCGAGTTCCTGGTCCCTGCTCCGTGTCTCTACTTCTGATACCCCTGACCCATCACGTTCCCTCTCTTAAAAGCTACAAACCCTGCGTGCCAGGGGTCTCATCCCTGTTCTGACTCCCCGCCTCCTCACTTTTCCCAGGGAATTCGGCACCGAATGAGAGGTAGTGTCAATGCTGTGAGGATCCGAGCCCCCCAGATTGGAGGTGAGAGGCTTGGAGAGACCTAGGAAATGGGATGCAGAGTTGGCAGTGGTCGTTCCTGTGGTTCTAGACTGCAGATTGGGGGTCCACATTTCCAGTCCCAATTCTGCCTGCAACTTCAGGACAGTGATGTTTCCCCATAATTGAATACAGAGGTGTAGAAGTATGGATTCCAGAGTTTAAATCCAGACCCCGGATCTTCCCTGATGGCATGACTTTGGGTTCGTGGATTCACCTCTCCGAACCTCATCGGTAACATGGGGATGGTGACAGCAGTAACCATCTAAATTAAGACTTCAGAAGTCAAATTAACATATCAGTATCTAGAACAGGTCCTGGCGCACAGCAAGGCCTCAATAAACACTTCAACTATCACACCGTTAACCAGCTTTCATAGCCTCTTTTGGGGTCCCTTAAAGCAAGATCGGAAGTCCAGTTTGGTGTGATGCTTAGAAAGATCAGAGTTCCTCTGTGAAAAGCCACACAGAAGAGAAATCTGTTTGTAAACACTTGTCAAACCCCTACAAAGGTGAGGGGAATGCCGGTGGTGATCAGAGATGGCTTGACAAAGGGGCGCACAGGGAGTATCCCCTAGGAGTTTACTCTCCGCCTTTGTGTCTGGGTTTTTCTCCCCATCCATTGCCAGAACCTTCAGGCCTTGGAAGCCCCCAGACCCAGCGCTGTGGATTTTGGGGCATTCTGATTCAGCCTCTGTCTCCCTACAGGTAGCTTCGCGGTGTGGGGGGGCCTGTTCTCCACCATCGACTGTGGCCTGGTGCGCCTGCGGGGCAAAGAAGACCCCTGGAACTCCATCACCAGCGGAGCACTGACCGGGGCTGTGCTGGCAGCCCGTAGTGAGTGCCCCAGCCCCCGGCCCTCCAGCCCCTTCCGCCTTGTTCTGCCTGCCCTCACCTCTCTCTCCCTGTCTCTTCCCTCTCCCAGGTGGCCCACTGGCCATGGTGGGCTCGGCCATGATGGGGGGCATCCTCTTGGCCCTCATAGAGGGTGTTGGTATCCTCCTTACTCGCTACACGGCCCAGCAGTTTCGCAACGGTGAGTACCCAGCAGATACTGGTCAGGGAGAGGTGCGAAATGCATCGCCTCTCACCCTTAAGTGATTCTTTCCTTTGCAGCACCCCCGTTCCTGGAGGACCCTAGCCAGCTGCCCCCTAAGGAGGGTACACCAGCCCCAGGCTATCCCAGCTATCAGCAGTACCACTGAGGAAGTGACCGCCTGTCACCACCATGGGAGCTCCTCCTCCGTTCCCTCCCCGATGATCTACCTCGAAGGGAGGGCTGGCTCCCAGTTGGCCCTGGGACCCTCCAGAGAGGGCGTTTGCTGTGCTCCCTTGTCCCAGGGTGGGGGGTGGGGCACCCCAGCTGCCCTGAAGGATGGGTCCCCTTCTCTATCAGGGCACCCCAACCCCAAATTCACATGTAACAAGTTCTCACCCCAGCCCCCTTTTCCTGGCGCCCTGATGAGTATTTAAAGCCTGTTTTGAAATGCCTGTGTTTGTACTCCTTGAGCCGCGTGTGAGAGCCCCTTGTTATGACAAGGGGCAGGGCCCTCTTCGGGGACGCAGAAGCCCTACATATTGTAGTCTGCAGAGAGTAAGTGTTTGTGGGATGAATGAGCAGGAGGAGGAATGAATCGAGAAGTGAACAGGTGCATGAGTAAGGGGGTGTGGGGACCAAGTGATGAATCATAGGCAGACGGGAACAGGCTTGGGAAAGAAGTGAGTGAACAGAAGAATTACTGGGGTGGGGAAGGGTGTAGTTTGCACCTTGCACCCCGACCCCTCTCTCCCATGCACCCATTGCCAAGGCTGGGAAATCTGACTGCAGTGAAGTCTGGCTTTCTGAATCCCAGTCACCCCATTTATGAGTGTGATCTCCCTCTCTGTGGCCTCGCCATGGACCTGGGGTGGAAGTAGGGGTCAGAAAGATCCAGCTTTCTTGAGGAAGGTGCCCTCTGTCAGTCTCCCCTTCTGTACCCTGGAGCTACTCCTTGATGATGCTCAGCGTTGCAATTTTCTTAAGAGCAACCATAAAATAACCAGAAAGGAGTTTTCATATTGGGGTGCGGACGTTACAGGAAAGAGATTTTTCTGGAGGGACGTTGGCCCCAAACACTGTCTCTTCCACACAAATCCCTACATATGTGGGGCCAACACTGTCACTGGGGTGTATCACAGGGGACCTAAGAACAGTTTCTTTTAGTGCAAGCCATTACAAAGAGGTGGAGATGTCCTTAGACAAAATTGCTTCCTGGGGGTAAAAGTACAGAGGCCCAGACCTCCCAACAGCCTGGATGCCTCTGTAGGAGCCGAAGTGTCACAGGGCCAGCTTGTGTGCCTTGATGCCAGCCTGCCAGCAGCCACCAGACAAGACTCCAGGGAAGCACAGTCAGGGGTGGGGGGCTGCCGGCACTGTGCGCACTGCTCTTGCAGGGCCCCCACCCGGCCTTGAGCTCAGAGCTCTAGGGGTGTCAGTTTTGGCCCAGGGTCTTCCAGGCGGTCATGCCTTCTAGGCTGCTAACGTGGCAAGATCCTTCACCCCCAGGCCCCCTTCTCTGGGCTCCCCCCCCCCCGCCCATATTTCAGACCCCATATCGCTCCTATGGAACCCCACCAGCTCCTCCCAGCCTTTCCCATTGGCTATGTCACTCGGCTGTGGTCCCCACAGACCTGAATCCGCAGGCCCCGGCCCCCTCCTGTCTTTCCTCCCTGTCCTCTAAGGATCCTGCAAGCGCTTACCTCTTCTATGTCTCAGCTCTGGCTCCTCTGTGTGTGTCATGTGCCTACTGCATCTGCCTGGTCCCTTCCAAATGGGTGGGGCTCCTACAGGTCCCTTCCTGCTGCCCCTACCTGGTCCTCCCCAGCCTCTAGCCCGAACCTCTGCCCAGCTCAGGCCCCATGCCCTCTGTTCCTTAAGGTTCCGCCCCTGTAGGTACACCCAAACATACGGCCTCTCTGCCTCTGGGGCCGTTCACTGTCTCCGGTCCCCAGGAGGCTGTGGGATGCGAGGGGGCCTTCGTGCGGTTTATGGCATCCTTCAGGCCCTTCTGCTCTGGCTCCTCAGGCAGCTGGTGAGGGGACGGGGGTGTGTGCGTGCATATGAATACCAGGGTACCAGCTCAGCAACGTAGGCTTGTAGCTTCGGCGGGGGGTGGGGTGCCAAGCGTCCACGGAGTCCCTGGTCTCCTAGTTGGGCCTGGGGCGTCCGGAGTCACCCAGGTCCCCAGAGCTAGAGCCGGGGCAGCGGAGGATCAGTCAGGTCGTGTCTGGGCCTGCACACAACTTCTTTTTGCCAGAGAAGGAAACGTGGGGTCGACCCCAGACAGTTTCCATCTGGAGGGACTATGGAGACTGGGAGAAGGCAGGAGTGAGACAAACACGGAGAGAAACAACCCGAGAAGAGCTGGAGACAGACGTAGGAAGAGCTGGAGGCAGAGACCTACAAGTGATCTATGGAAAGAGAAACAAGAAGCTGTGTGAGAGTCAGAAATGCAGGTGGTCGGGGGCACATGGGGGGCTCAGTCGGTTAAGCCTCTGCCTTCAGCTCAGGTCATGATCTCAGGGTCCTGGGATTGAGCCTCCTGTGGGGCTCTCTGCTCAGCATGGACTGGGCTTCTCCCTCTCCCTCTGCCCTTCCCCCCACCACTAGTGGTGGTTGCTTTCTCCTGCTCTCTCAGATAGATAGATAAATCTTTTTTCTTTTCTTTTTTTTTTTAAAGATTTTATTTATTTATTTGACAGATAGAGATCACAGGTAGGCAGCGAGACAGGCAGAGAGAGAGGAGGAAGCAGGCTCCCTGCTGAGCAGAGAGCCTGACGCGGGGCTCGATCCCAGGACCCTGGGATCATGACCTGAGCCGAAGGCAGAGGCTTTAACCCACTGAGCTACCCAGGCACTCCCAGATAGATAAATCTTTTTAAAAAGGAAAGGATAATGCAGGTGGGGATGTGGGAAGACCCTCAGCGTCAGATGGAGGTAAACGCAGGGAAGAAGGCCAGCCAGCATAGTAGGTGTGAGCTGGGCTGAAGGGCCCCACAGACAGAGGGCTAGCAGGCTGCCCTTCCCTTACCGTCTGGCTGAGGGGCCTCAGAGAAGCCTGAGCTTCTCAGAGAGGAGCCTGACCCTGCCTCCTTTATCCCTCTGGCTCGCTCTCTCACTCTCATTTCTGATTTCATCCCATCTGCTTCCCACAAGGATTTCATGCCTTTCCCTGGGGTTCTTCCTTCCCCTCTTCTTCCTGGCTTCCCCCATCCCCTGAGCGACAAGTTGGCCTCCATCTGTCTTGATCTGTCTCTCAGCCCTCCTTCCCCATTTCTCTACTAAAGTCCCCCTGGCTGGTGGCTTGCACACTCCCCGTGGCCCCTGGCTTTGTTATCTGTTAATGTCATGGGGCAGGTGGCTGGAGGAAGTATCTGGGGGGCAAGGAAGTTTAGTGAGATGGAAAGAATCTGGGAAGTACAACGGGGTCCAGCCCTGACAACAGGGTGGGGAGTCACTGCCTCAGGCAGAGACCCTGAGATGCTGGGGAGAGAGACATGGGGAGATTAAGACACAGAATAGAAAGAATTGGGACAGAGCCCACAAGAGGGACCAAGACAAAGGGAAGCCAAAGTTTAAGGAGATATCAAAGGAGAAGTAGATGCAGAGAAAGCAGTATCAAAGAGAAAAAAATGGTAGGACAAGTGAAAGGACAGGAAAAGAGAAAATGTGAGAAGGGAGATAGACACAAAAGATTAAGAGAGTGAGCCAGCCAGTGGGGGCAAGGGAGAGAAAGGAGCAGAGAGAGTCAGAACAAAACAAAGAAGTGAGAGAGAGACATGAGAGTGGGACACACATACCCTCTTACCCTGCATCTGGGGCTTGCTGGCCTGGGTGTTCTTTCTTTTTTATGTAAGATTTAATTTATTTGTTTGGGGGAGAGAGAGTGAGGGAGCACAAGCAGGGGAGGGGCAAAAAGGGAGAGGAAGAAGCAGACTGCCTGCTGAGCAGGGAGCCTGACGCAGGACTCTATCCCAGGACCCTTGAATCATGACCTGAGCTGAAGGCAGCCGCTTAACAGACTGAGCCACACAGACACCCCTGTCTGAGTGTTCTTATTTCCTTTGTTTTCTTAGTGGCAGCTGGAGAACAGGGCCTGGCTGGGCAGGGCAGCTCTGCCAGCCCCAGCACCTCAGGTCATCAAAGTGGGTGGGAGGAGCGCAGCATCCCCTGATGATATACTTTTTTTTTTTTTTTTTAAGATTCTGTTTATTTATTTGACCGAGAGAGAGAGAGAGAGAGAGAGAGAGAGAGAGAGAGAGAGAGATCACAAGTAGGCAGAGAGGCAGGCGGAAGCAGGCTCCCTGCTGAGCGGAGAATCTGATGTGGGGCTCCATCCCAGGACCCTGAGATCATGACCTGAGCCGAAGGCAGAGGCCTAACTCACTGAGCCACCCAGGCACCCCCGGATACACTTTTGGACAGCAATGCTGTGCTGTTGTCCCGGGTGGTGTCAAAGAGCTCATTTGGGGCCAACCCCTGCAGCTGGCCAATGGGAGTCATCTCCGGGGAAAATGCAGTGTCCTCAGAATGCCCACAGTGTCCTCAGAATGCCCACAGAAGAGGAACAATGCGCCAATGATCCCTTCTGGGGGGACAGAGGAACCTTCTTTTTGTCACCCTCCTAAGGGGAAATGGAAGGCACCAAGAGGTATGGCTGTGCTGCCTGAAAGTGGCAAAGCGGACATTTGTATCCGTATGTATAGTGCTTAGAGTTGGAGATGTGTGTTGCACCATAATGTCCGACACATCATCGATCAGCACCACAGGTGCCCTTTGAAGCTTTTCACAGGCCAGCGGAACAATTTCTGAGCCCCCGTTGTTAAGGTAATAACTAAGGACTCAAGGAATGACTTGACGGAGAGCAGGCTGGCGGCAATCATGGGCCTTCACCCAGGCGTCTTCTGAGAAGGTCCTGCCCGTTCAGTTTCAGAACGTTCATCAGAGCATGTGCTTTTCTGTATGTGCATCTCACTGAAGAGTTAAATATGAGTTAGAGTCGTGTGGATCAACAAGGGTCATTTTCGAGCCTGCAGTATGACACAGAAGAAGGAAAGCCAAAGACTGCTGTGTAGAGTGCGATATTTGCAGTAAACACATGTGAACAGTATATGCAGTTCATGGGTCCCTGATGAGCTAATGAAAGAATAAAAAGGCGCAAGGGAACAATCAATAAGAAACTCAGTGTTGCGTTCACATCAGAGGGCGAAAGCAGGATAGAGTGGACTAGAGGGGTGCCCAGGTGGCTGAGTTGACCATCTGCCTTCAGCTCTGGTTATGATCCCGGGGTCCTGAGATTGAGGCCCTGTGTCGGGCTCCCTGCTCAGCGGGGAGTCCGTATCTCCCTTTCCCTCTGCCCCTCCCCCTGCTAGTGCTCTCATGTGTTCTGCTCTCTCTCAAATAAATTTTAAAATAAGTAAAAAAAAAAAAAAAAAGAACAGAGTAGAGGGAG